GTGTGTGTGTGTGAATGTGTGTGTGTGTGTGAGTGGTGTGTGTGTGTGTGTGAATGTGTGTGTGTGTAAGTTTGGTGTGTGCAAACCTACCTTGAAAAATTATACTGCTTATGACCCAATCTGTTAGAAATATTGTATATCATCCTTCACTGAGGTGTGCATGCAGGTTGATTTTTTTTTTCAGTTTGTTGAATTTTTGTGAATTCTTCTTTTTCAGTATCTAACCAAAGGTCGTCATCTTCGAAATGCCCAGTATCTACCCCCAGAGGAAAAGGTTAGTGTGGTTTTCCTTCAAAAAAGCATCACCCTACAGCCTACTCTCATCTGCCAAATAAACATACGGGACACGTTTATTTTTTTGGGCCCAAACATCCACCCAGTACGTTCTTTTTTTGCACAGTACGTTTATTAATTTTTTGAAAACCAGTAATTTTTTTCAACTTCGTGTGAAAAAAATTGACAAATCATCGACGTGAAGACGTTTATAAACGCATATTGTAGCAAGAAACTTGTCATTTTCGGGCCGGTTTTTGCAATCACCGCGTGCATAAATTCGTCTGAATGTTCTATTGTCATGGGTGGTGCTTATCAAAATACAAAATATTAAATGCTCTTTTTTTTGTCTATTTAAATTCCTAATTGCAAATAACAGTTAAAGATTTGTGCATATATCAGTAAGGGTGCATTTTAGTACAAGAGACACAGGTTACCCGTCAATTTTGGTAATTTTCCGGGGGGTACGTTTATTCCGGGGGTATGTTTATTTGATTTTGAAGATTTGTCCGGGGGGTACGTTTATTCCGAGGGGTATGTTTATTCGGCAGATGAGAGTACATTTCTTTAACTGTAGTGCTAAAAGAAAGATTCACAAAGTTTAACACAAAGTTAAAGGTCAGAAACCCAAAACATTACAACCTTAAACAAAACAAAGGATGAATAGATGAAGTTGTTTAGTCATTTCACACTGGATTATTGAATTTTTACACATTAAAAATTCAAAAAATTTAAAAATTCAAAAAAAAATTCAATAATCCAGTGTGAAATGACTAAACAACTTCATCTATTTATCGTATTCCTGGATGAGTAACCTTCACCAACGTAAAACAAAGGATGGTTTTAAAAAATTGAGCTTAGTTCTGTGTACCTAAACCCACATTTAGGTTTAGGTCCAGATTCAAGTCCAGAGGTTTAGGTTCAGTTCCTGACTTGTAAGTCCGGACCTAAACCCATGGCATATACAAAATTGCATGTTGGCAACCTTGCAATTTTGTATGGGCAAAACTGTGGCCACATAACATGGAGGCCGACACTTGATGATGCCCGATGGCAATGTTTTCTTCATTTTGCAGCACAGATTTTGCAATCTATGGAAGGTTTAAGGTGGTTTGGAAAGAAAAGTGACATTTTTTTGTTGTTGTTGTTGTTGTTATGAGTCCGGAATCAGTTCTTTTAGTTTTTTTTGGACTTGAACCTACACATTCTTACAAGTCCGGAACCAGTCCAGCAAACCAGTACACAGCACTTCTTGAGCTAATGTAGCAGTTCAGTAATTTCTAAGATGTGCACACTTCTGCTATCCAGGTGTTAAAGACATTCTTGGCAATGACTTTTCTTTATTGTGCCAGTCTGGCTAAATTATAAGAGTAACTGTTGTTGACATAGATTTAATATTCCGTACATTCCCTAACAGGAAGGAAAATATAGCCTAAACGTGCAATATGGCTATGCCCGGGATGCCTATGCTTTTGGTATCCTTGCTGAACAGATGTTGGAATACCTTACAGAAATGGGTGAGTTCATATTGCATATGATACATACTACAAGTACAAGAATTTTTTGTATGACATAGTGTATATAGCAAAAAAGGAAATCCTTATATATAAGTGTATAGCAGTAAAAAATGTATCTTGCTTTTTGTTCAATTCTAGACTCTAGTACTCCAGTACAGAATTTAGCAAATCTAGAAAGAAGCTTTCTTCCCAGTCATCACAATATTGTTTTGTTTGTTTGTTTGTTTGTTTTGAACCTTTGTTTGGCCCTTTGTTAATCCATTAGAAATCAAGTTGATATGCAGCCCGATGTCTGAAAGTGATACTAATAGTTTGATTTGGCAATATACATAACAATCATGTACTACACATTTGTATAAAAATAAATTTGTAATGAAAGTCAGCTTTTTTGTCTTACTACAGGACACCTTGGACACTAAGCATCAACTTTGGTAGTTATATTTGATTAATTTATTTGCTTATCTTAATGTTTTAGGAGGAATGTGTAAAACCTTTGAGCTGTCTGTATCTGAGGGACTCTTACACCCAGACCCTACTGCCAGGCCAAGACTCAAGACTCTGCTGTCTGACAAAATCTTCAAGTGAGTAGTACATGTACTTAGTACAAAGACAAAAAAAAAGACTATAGTATCTTGAATTCTTTGTGACTTAAACTAGTCAAATGTACATGTACAATGTTTTGACACAATGGAATAGTCCTACAGGAACGTACAATGGGCTTGAAACATAAAATAACACTGATTTTAACATTTTAAGGTAAAGCACTGAGTCTTCCTTTGAATCGACTGTCCGGGTGTTCAAGATGGTCTTTTTAAGGCCTTGATAACATGTTATGATGTACCTAGAATGATAATGTATAAAAATATTAGAGCTTACATTATATGTTTGCCAAATTACTAGTAGTGTTTTCTAAGTACAACATAGCTTCAAGTGTTTTCTCTAAGTGTTGACTGCCTGCTCCATTTTTTTAGGAATGACTACTTGGAGATCATGAACTTCTTAAAGAACATCACCGTCAAGGATGAAGAGGAAAAGAACTTATTCTTCAGGTGAGTTTGACTATAGTACTTATAGTATATCATTATGGCTTCACCACTATGTGGTAAAGACACAATCATTGTTTTTCCTCTTGTTTTTGTATGATACTAGTATATAACAGTTACTGCAAGAAGAATTATATAAGATAAATTTATCAAAAAGCATAAGTTGCTCAAAATGCTTCTGTTTCACACAAGTGTCTTATTCTATCATTATGCCAGAGGAAAGAGACTCTTTTTACAAAACCAAGACAGTCTTTTATTCAGCCGACATTTCGGTGACCGTCTGTCACCTTCCTCAGGGCAATTCTGACTGGTTCACACTGCACTGCAGCACAGGTGTCGCTGCTACAGATGCATTCCCAAATGTACATTATTGAACACCTAAGTGCAAATGATAGATTTATATTTTTGATGCTTCTAGACAAACCCTGTATCACAAACATGATCTGTTCCTACATTTTCCATTGTACAAAAAAGCGAGAAGTTGACCACTCTGTCTTAGATCAGTAACTAGAACACTTTGTATTAGCCTAATATAGTACCCTTGTATGTGCCTTATGTATGTTTTCTACACACGTTTGTTATGTGTCCGTTAAGTCTTGACCTGTACCTAGCCCGTCGTGGCATGAATGTACAATAAAGGTATTTCAACTATTATTTACATATCTACACATATGCGTATTACTAATTGAGTTACATATCTACATTATTCATATTTCATGCAGCACGTTGGCAGCCAAAGTGTACAGTCTTCCCCCTGTCCTGGTGGCCACACGGCTGGTTCCCCAGCTGATGACCAGACTAGTCATGGCTGAACCTGTAGCTGTGGAGTCTTTCTACCCTCACCTGCTTACCCCATCTACAGGTCAGTTCTGTGTATGTTAGCTCAACCTTTAAGGAAGGGGGGAGGGGGGCATGTCTTGTATTCCAGCTGATGACCAGACTAGTCATGGCTGAACCTGTAGCTGTGGAGTCTTTCTACCCTCACCTGCTTACCCCATCTACAGGTCAGTACGTGTATGTCAGCTCAACTTTTAAAGACAGTTAATAGTTATAATAATACATCAGGGCTCGAAATACCAAATCCATATGGAGGTTAGTGCAGGTAAAATTGAAACTGTGCACTATTTCTTAGATTAGAAAGATATAAATAAAAATCCCTGCCTGCCAATGAGATTGAAGACGAACAGCATTTTATTATGGATTGTCCTCTTACATGTACATTGTATATGATGAAAAAAGCACAAAGCTGTTCAACCTTCTCTCCGCTTGCTCAACAGAATTTGTTACATTTCATGCTATAGATGAATTCAAGGTAGTAACAGTTACACTTACTTTGTACAAATAGGTGAATACATGTATATCAAAGAATGTTTAGACCTTATAATTATAGAAGAAGTAGTATGAGTCAATTCACCTACATGTACATACAATGTAGGTTAATTTTGTTGTACCCACGCACAGGGCTTGAAATACTGGGTGCATGTGCACCTTAGTGCACCCAAAATTGAAGTTGTGCACCTAATTTTTTTCTGTGGGTGCACCCAAACATTTCTGTAGGAATTTTTAAGCATTAGAAATGTATGATAGTATACCGGATATTCTTGGTCTCTAAGTATTAGGAAAATACTAAAATCTTTGTTGTTGAGTACTTGTTTAAGATTTTGAAGTTAGACTCAGAAGAGGAGCAGTAAGACCTGCAAGTAGGTTTTGTTTCATATGGTGCACCCCAAAAAAATTTAAACACCTAGTTTTTTTTGGTTGGGTGCACCAGTGCACCTATTCCCAAGAATGAATATGTCTCTATATATCGTCTGTAGTAGTTTAAGACCTTACAAAAGTTACTATACTTTGGCTGTGTCAATAAAGTTCTGTATTACTACATTGTATATCCTGACACATATTGTCTACACTGCAGAAAAGAACAGGTGGGAAGAGTTTATCCCAGGCCAGGTGAACGCCATCCTCCCTGCGGAGGTGTACCGTGAACACGTGATCCCCATCCTGGCAGACCTGTTCACTGTACATGAGGAACACGTGCGCATGATCCTGCTGCACCACTTCTCAGCCTTCGTGGAACAGTTTGACCCCGAACTCATCCGGAGAAGAATACTGCGACAGGTGTGTGACAGTCAGGTGGCGAAAACAGGCTCAAAAATGACAAGTTTCCGCTACAATACGCCTTTAGATGTTTTTTACTATATGTGTATTAAAAAAAATGACTGATTTAACAAAAATTAATAAACGTACAGTGCAAAATAAGTATGTACTGGTGAACATTTGGGCAAGAAAAATAAATAAATGTACCTGTACGTTTATTCAGCATATAGTGCTGTATAGCTAAACCCACATTTACATTGTAGGTTTAGGTCTGGATTCAAGTCCAGAGGTTTATTATTAGGTTCAGTTCCGTACTCGTAAGACTCAACCCATGGCATATATGAAATTGCATGTTGGCAACTTTGCCAAGATGTCTGGACAAAACTGTGGCCACATAACATGGAGGCCAACGCATGACGATGCCCGATGGCAATGTTTTCTTCATATTGCAGCACAGATTTTGCAATCTGTGGATGGTTTTAGGTGGTTTGGTAAATCTGAAATCGATTCTTGACTTTTCAAATTAGTTTTTTTTTTTTGGACTCAATCCCAAACAGCAAACTGGTACACAGCACTATGTTTGATTGTGTTTAGACTTTGTGACTTTCTTGGGGATGCACATGACTAATCGTTTTGGACTTACACTCACACATCAAAATAGGAAAACTCGTTTTCTTGTTTAAGGTCGCTTTTGCTTTCTTGTTTTAAACCACTTCAAACCTTCCATCCATTTTTCAAAATTGGTGCTGGAAAATGATGAAAATTGCACTATTAGTATTATTTTGTTATTATTCTTTTGTGCCACAGAATTGATTTAGAAACATAACAGATAACAGAATACTACAAAAGCCTCCTTTCCTTCCACAAAAGAAAATCACTTCATCTACATTTGAACTTTTCCCTTTTCCCCAAAGCTACTGCTAGGACTGAAGGACACCAATGACCAGATAGTAGCTGCCACCTTACGAGCCTTGGCTGAGGTGGTGCCAGTGTTGGGGGGAGAAGTAGTAGTGGGCGGCCACAGGAAGAAATATTTCAAGGAGGGTCGACCCAAGTTTGCCACCTTCATGTCTTCTCCTGAAGGTAACAATTATCTTGTACAACAAAATGCAACAATTTTTCAGCAAAGAAAAACAAACAAACAAACTTTAATTTACTTAGAAAGCCATTGCTGAGTCTTTTGGTCTTCCTTATGATAATTATATACATTGTAATTACCTGATTTTCCAGAGCACAGGACTTAGATGTGATTTAAACTCTGATACTGTACAGGGGTTTTTCTAGAAAAATTTGGCATGAGGGAGCAGTATCATGGCGAGGGAGCGAAGCGGCCGAGGGGGGGTTGGTGCGGAAGGGGGGTATCCCCATGTGAAGCCTTTGAAAATTTGAAGTTGAAATGGGACATTTTGAGGCTACTTGAGGGGGAAAATTTGAACTCTTAATAACCTCAATACCTTTTCCAAATTTCTATTCATGCATTGCATATTTCCCTTATAAAATATAAGTACAATCAACAGTACACACAATCTGCAAATCACCCTTTATACACTTACACAATTAGTGATGTTACTAGTAGCTCCAGATGACAACATTGGATTTGCCACAAGCTGAAACCTTTCCCATGGCACAATTCCAACACATTCATCCATTGAAGCTGCTACAAACTCAGGTCTCATGTTTCACTTCAGAGCCTGTTCTATAGTATGCAAATGAAGGAGGTCTAGCTACATGTTTTTGAGCAAGTTCTCAATGAACATTGTTCATTCCATTCAAACTTTTACTACTAGAGCTAAATTTTCAAGTTTGTGATAAGATTTTGGAATTTTTATGAGAGTAACATAGTTTGTAATGCTAGAATTTATTGTTCTGTGGTGTTGTTTTTGTATTTTTACTGGAAAAAGATGATTTTGAAAAAGACCTAGACTTCAATCTGAAAATTGATATGAGGGCGCTGGTTTGTTACATGAGGGCGCAGCGCCCTTCTTCCCCTGTTCAGAAAAACCCCTGCTGTAAACCCTAATAGTATCTTTCAACTGGTTGAACAACCATCCACTGTCCAAAGCTCTTAGTAGCATGTCTACAGTTATAACAAGACTGGCAATGAAAACATACATTGCCATGGCAACGGTGGTTCATGTTAGGGTTATTGTTTGCATGGCACTGCCATCGTTTCATGATTTTGAGCAAGACAGATACAGTGCACTCCTCCCCCGAGTGTATAGTGAACGAGCCCCGGGGTCACATAAAGTAGGACCATCCATGGCAGACAGGTCTTCTGAGTCTTCCCAAGGGTTTCCAGGAATTTGGGCATAGATGTGGGTCAGAGACATGCCTGTGGACATTCCATTCCTGTGGACAAAATGCCTGTACAATTCCTAGAATTCTTGCGAATTGCACACAATACTGTACCATAAGGCTCCTCCCTGAGACGTCGCCAAAAATGAAATTCATTGCTAAAGAAGTTTTATGTAAGTTTTGTGTGATTTGTTGCCTTTGACTACCATTCTATTACTAGAAAATGCCATAATTGCTACAAAATGTCTTTGGTAATGTTAATATCTGTCTACTTGTTTGAGTCTTTGCAGATTTAGGCCACACCAATTTACATAATTTGTTGTTTCTCGGATTTTTGTAGAAAAAATGTGGAGTGACAGGGAAAAAAAAAACAGGCCAAGGCACCCCATGATAGCCAGAAATGTTACAATATGAGCCATGAAGTCAACATACCAGGCTGGTTTCATAATTAAAACAATAAATTTTGAACTTTTAATGAAACAAAATTGCACTGTTACATGTACATTGAAAAACTAGTCTAAACCATTGGGGCCAAAATATGTATTTTATTGAGCATTTTGCAGTTGATTTAGAAGCAAAAATGGGCAGGGCGAATCCGAGAAACAACAAATTAAATTGGTGTGGCCTTATGAAAAACTCAAGCATATGTACAATGTAATATTGTTTTTACAGTGTCCAGGAGCAATGCAAATGTGGCCAACCTCACAGCAGTCAGTGGGGTCATTAACCTGCCGTTTGATATCAAGACTTCCCCTCCTAAAGCAGCAAAACCCTCCGCCAGGTGAGACATTTTGTTTTACATGTTAGTATTCTTCAACAATTCATTATGAAACAGCGTGCAAAATACCTGGTTGCCCAGTTGCCCCGGGCAACCAAATTTTACTTGGGGCAGCCTATTTTTGAACTTTGGTAGCCCAGTGTGCTACCTGAATTTTAAGAATGCCCCCCCCCCCAAATCATGCCCAATTGGCTTGCACCATTGTATCCGACAGATACTTTTTAATTCTAGGTATTAATGGTTATTACTAGTATCAGTTAACTAAAGGCTGTTAGAAATACTGTCAAAGGCTTATGTACAAATGCATGTAACATTACTTGATTTGAGGAAAGTAATAATTTATAGGTGGGACAACCTACATGTGAAATTCCTATGGGCAACCTAATTTTTGCCATAGGTTGCCCACTGGGCAAGCTGGTTCAAAAAGGTATTTTTTACACTGTGAAATCAGTCCAATAGTTGCTCAGTATTTTTTTCAGTATAGAAATCTGTCCAGTAGGTCCTGCAGCTTACGATTTTTTTTCAATATAGAAATATGTCCAAATTACTAGGAAAATCAGTCTAATACTAGTAGCAGTTCAGAATTTTGACTGGTGCCACCATATTTGAAATCATGGTAGCACGGTGAGCCAATCAACCAACAAGAGGTTCTTCGGTTTGTAAGCATTGTGCTTCCCTGTGGATTATGATAGTGCCAATTATATACACGCCAATCTAAAGAGAAAAAAATCAACTGGAAATCCCACTGTGCTGGTTGAAAACATTTTCTTGTTTGTTTTAGCTGTGATTTTGTTGGTGAATTGCTTTAAGAAAATATGATTGGGTAGCTACTCCTAGCTTAGATTTAGATTTTGATATATTGATGACAGTAATTCCTTAGGTTTACTTGCTTGAAGCTCCAGGTAGAAAATGCATGTACAGTTTGTTGGAATTCGCAGAGAACCTCCAAATTACGTGAATAGGACAATATTTTTCTGGTGGTGCGCCAAGATTTTTGCTGGTGCGCCCAATTGTTTTGGGTTGGGAGCACATTGGTCAAAAGTCAAAAAGTTAGTCTGGAGCCCTGACATTGCAAGGTTACCAACATGCAATTTTGTATATGCCATGGGTTAAGGTCCAGACTTACAAGTCCAGAACTGAACCTAAACCTCTGGACCAGAATCTGGACCTGAACCTAAATGTGGGTTTAGGTACATTTGTACACAGCACTATCACAACTTCTAAAACCACGGTAACAGACAGGTCCAGGTCTATATCTTTTGCTAGATAGAATCAGACAACAGGATGTTCCAGGAGCTTCTGGAAAACTTACCAGTGGAAGAGCTGTTAGAATCATTCACTGATTTTGATATGTGACATGGTATAACTTGTCTTCATTCCTCTACCCAACACAGTGTTAAGCCATCCAGAGAGGTTGACAGCATTTCTGCAAAACGTCAGCTGGAGAGGGAGAGAAAGAGGGAAGAAATGAAGAGAAGGTCAGAGGAAAGGAGGAAGGAAAGAGAAAGAAAAAGACTGGAAAGAGAACAAGACAAGCTGCTTTCCAAAGGTATGGAAACTTCCATATAATTCTTTCTTTCTTTTATTTTGTTTATCTCTTTTTGATACTTGGTATAATGTATAAATATGCTACATTTAATCTTTTAACTGTTGTTGTTTTCAATTAGCAACTGAAGAAGAAGAAATAAAAGAGCATTCAGTTGATGAAATCAGTGACACCAGGGCTTCCACCAATGAGATCATCGCTGCCATGGAAACAAGACTGATTGACACCGCAGAGGAGGCTGACGATTGGTCAGACTGGGAGGACACATCTGTGGGTGTGGCCCAGGCGAAAGAGGATGATGCAATAAGCCAAGAGATAGAAGAGGAGCTAGAAAAAATGGAAAGTCTTCCAAAACACGACGAACACGAATTCCAAGATGGAAAAAAGTTATTCCTTGACATAGTTCCTGCAAAAGAGGCCAAGGCGTTAGGGAGTAAGGATAGCAGAACTCCGAGCGAAAGCGACTGGGGAGGGTGGGGGGAGGACGACCGCCCTGAAGACGAGAGAAGCGTCGGATCAGCCTCCGTCCAATCAGAATCCCCCAAAGCAACGCCAAGAGACACAAAAACCATGACGCACGCAACAAGTGGAAAACACAGTACAACAAAGCATTCCGGCATGAAACTAAAAGGTAGAGTTTCAAAAACTCAAACAGAAGACACTAAAGCAACAACTCCTACAGACACACATGATAAAACCACAAACAAAAGACCAGAAACAACTAGAAAAGTTGAGAGAAAAGTACGTCCAAGTCTTCAGCAAATTGAAGAAAAAGACTTAGGAAAAGACCTGGAAATACAGGCAAAGGTCATTAAAAAGGAAGAAGAAGACTTCTTTACCGATATGGTGCCAGAGTTCAAGCCAGCGAGTGTTACACTACTGTCAGAACTCGGTGACGTGTCACACAAGGAAGCTACTGATGTGGAAAGCACGGACCATGGACACACGGAACTGTCTGCAGTGTTTGCTGCACAAGATACAGAGGTATGTTTCCCCAATAGACCCATTCACCTTTCACGGATAGTATAAACTGCTTACGTCACAGGCAATCATTTACACGACGTCAGGTGGACTAAGGGTGCCGGCTTTTTTCCTGTCATTTCCGGTGATATTACCGAGGAAATAGACACCTACCTTTTGCAATAGTGATCTGCCAGGGGGTACACCGCAAGCGCAAGCCGCGTTTGACTCCCTCGTTCTAGAACGGCGTTCTTTCGAAATGTCCCCCCTGTGAAGTTATTTCTATTCGAAATGTCCCCCCTGTGAAGTTATTTCTATTCGAAATGTCCCCCCTGTGAAGTTATTTCTATTCGAAATGTCCCCCCTGTGAAGTTATTTCTATTCGAAATGTCCCCCCTGTGAAGTTATTTCTTTTCGAAATGTCCCCCCTGTGAAGTTATTTCTATTCGAAATGTCACCCCTGTGAAGTTATTTCTATTTGAAATGTCCCTCCTGTGAAGTTATTTCTATTCAAAATGTCCCCCCTGTGAAGTTGTTTCTATTCGAAATGTCCCCCCTGTGACGTAAGCAGTTTATGTGATCCGTGGAAGTCGAATGGGTCTTATTCATAAACCACAAGGTGTAGATACAAAATTTGAGGGCCCATAAACTTTGATGATCGTGTTACTAACTTTATACGGTTAAGAACCTGGCTTCTGGTGTAGTTCTTATATAGTCATAGTATGATAAAAATTTGTTTAAAAATTTCTTTTAATGTAGTAAGTCGAATTAAGCCAGTCCCAAAGCATACTAGTATCTGTGAGAGGCGAATGTGATTACGCTGATGGAAAACAGTTGCTTGTTTTGTATCGTAGACTGGTTCTACTATTTAGTAAAAGACACCTCACGTAGCTTGTTTTGGGGATATTTCAAATGTTTCAAGTATGAAATATACATGTACTAGGAAATGGTATTAAATGTGAATATGGACCAAGAACATCATACAATTGTATTTATATATATCCTTGATTAGATAGATTTCCTTATCAAGAATTTTTTTTCTTTGTCTAACACTTCAAATATGAAACACAGATTTCCACTTCCAAAATATTTTGTTTTGTTTTTCCACCTCTGAAATTGCATTGGATTCCTTTAGCTTTCATTTAATATATTTGAATCTTACTTTGAAAAACTAAAATTATCTGTCTTGAATTTTGCAGGTAGAAGCAGGCTGGGGAGATGAGGAGGACATCAGTTTGGAGGACACAGATCTGACTGTCCCAGATGATTGACATGTGTCAACACATCACAACCACATCACAACTTTATCACCAGGAAAAAAAGTACAAACTATATGAGCAAGTCTCTCACTGTTCAACATACTTACATGGGTGTGGCATTTTTTTTTCAAACACAGTATTAAATTGTTTGCATGACATAATTTTTTTTCAAGCTGGCATCACACAGTCAGGCCTAGGAAAAAATTTTGTTTCCCATTTCAGTCCTGAAGAAATTAGGGTCGGTAGGTACGGATTTTCTTTCTTTCTTTTCTTATTAGACTTTGGCAATTTCTAATACTAAGTAACTTATACAATACAGTTTAACAAAGTAAAAAAAACTTGCATCATGAGGACACTTATATTTTCAATGTCGATGTTGTACAATTATTGACATGTAGTCTGGCATTTTGTCATCCTTTTTCATGCGCATTTAATTCATTTTCAAAGGACTTTTCATTGATGTTTTACAATTATATTATGGTTCAAACACAAAATACTTCTAGTCTTCCATGAATATGACCATTATTTTTTTTTGTAAGGTTTGGATCAAGGAAAAATTTACTATAGTTTATGGTTGTCATTGATTGTCTTAATCATCTTGTGCATACAGATAGTTACAGAATTTTTTTGGTGGTTTTGAAATGGTGGTTGTTATACTGAGCTCACTGCACTTGTGTCATCTACATGTATGGTTCTGGTCTGTCCGGGGGAGGAGATATCCACGCTTTTTGTGAGAGATTTAGATTTTCATGTTCGCAGCTGTTTCTCGCGTTAAGGTGGACGGATTCTTTTGAGACTCGGTATATGTTTTGCTATTGGGCTGCAGATGATGCATGTTCTTTTGTTTTTATTGTATATGTGTTTTCAGGCATGAAAATGGTGCCTTTTGGTGGCCCCAGAACACCCCTTTGAGCGTGAAAGTGGTCGCGACCGTTGACCATTGGCGTGTATTAGGTATTGACGGTCTCGTCCACGAAGGTGACCCCTCGCACAGAGGGGTGTCCGGGCTCGATAAATTCTTTGTTTAAAACCCTAGTAGTCCTGCGGCGCGCAACAATTGTTGTTGTAAACAACATTTAAAAATATACAATAAAAAGCCTGGAGGCATAAAATCTCAGATTTTACTTGTTTCAATGATGTTTTATCAGCAAACTTCAAACACTGTAAACACTTTCTACAACAAATGTGCATGTAAATCAGAGTTCAGTTCTTAGAACAGCTAACTTAAAGATGACACTTTCAGAGAAATATCTTGCCAGACAATATTTTGTGATCATAATTTTTTGTCTATTTATTAACAACAACAAGATTCCATCAAGAAAATGACAAGTAATACATAAACATAATGCAATCATGTAATTTTCATAAACATCATATTTGTTACACATCCAGAGTACATTACTACCACTGATTGTTTAAGATTAAACATAGACATGCTAATAAAAAATCTTACCCAACAAGCCCTGTTTTACAGCCACTATGGGACATTCATAGTCCAATTCCAATTTACATCCCAAATTTATTACCATTGCCCAATAACAAAAAAGGCAAAGTAAACAATGACAATGAAACATGTTGACATCATACAAAATATAAATTAATGCAGGAATTTTGACATACATGTACTAGACAAAGTAGTACTACAAAGTACTACAGGTAGACTTTCAACATAGAACATCAACATTGTAGACAGATACATTTTGTACATCTTCAAAGTTGTAGATGTTAATTCGAAGTATCCAGTCCTCATAGTACATGTGTATGAGTCAAACCTCATTTATATTGTGATGGTGGTCAGAATTTCGACATTAAAAAACAAAACTGGAAATGCTTTTTTCCGAGGTGTTTCATTAAAAGACAACCTACTCCAATGCCACATTTGACTTAGGCCTATATGCATTTTTTTTTAAATTTTCTTTTAATTTTTATATTTTTTTTGTCTGGAGCAACCCCACTTTCTGACCATTTTCCCTCAGTTCCCTGAATGATCAGTGAATGAAATTACAGTTGCCATAGGTTTGTAGTTAAACTACAATTAAAACGAACTTTCTAAATACCGATTTGATATGAAATGTGTACATCGTATACTTATAAAGGTGCTACAGGGTTTTTCATCTTTTTTCTTTTCTTTTTTTGTGGTGCTGGAAAGTAGAGTACAAAATGTACATTATTGTGCCATGTACCAAGTACACTTGAATGAGTACAGTAACAGTAACAATGCATCCATGTAGTAAAAAAGAAACCCTATGTTAAACAGTCTCTGAGTCCTTTGTACAATGTATATAATTATACATGGTGTCACTTTCCCCCCATTTTTTGTGTTTTTTTTCTCACATGGTGTCACTTTCAACCCATTTTTTGTGTTTTTTTTTTCTCACATAGTGTCACTTTCCCACCATTTTTTGTGTTTTTTTTTCTCTCAATTCATATATCATACTCTGGTGGTAAATCAAAAAAGATGTCCATATTTGAAAAAGCAAAATCGTTAATGTGATTGCTTGTAAGCATTTTGTAAAAGTTGCAATACTGTGAAAAATATAATTGTTACAAATAGGCCATGTGTTTCAGCCTACTACTAAAGTGTACAGGAGGTAGCCAAAAGTACTGTAATGTGGACCAGTCTGGGTTTTAAATAAAGGGGTAAAAACTGCAAAAGATTTTCATGTCTTTTCTTGTATAGAACGGTATAATGTAAGTTGGTAGTTAAATTAAAGAATAAATAGGTTGAATAATGAATAATTGGAAAGATTTAATTTACTAGTAAACAGTTTTTTAAAGTATTGGTTTAGCAATAAATATAACGTTATGTATTGTGTTCTGGTTTGAATATATAGAGTACTTATTTTCAAACAAAAAGTCAAATTTAGATGCCCCAGTTGTATCAGTGTACCTTATTTACCAACCTCTCCAAATTATAGTATTTTGAATTTCTTTGCCGCTATATATGAATTGTCAGTATCCAATCCCTAAAGGCCTTACAAAAGGCTATGGTATTCTCAGTATCCAATCCCTAAAGGCCTCACAAAAGGCTTTGGCATTGTCACAGTATCCAATCCCTAAAGGCCTCACAAAAGGCTATGGTATTCTCAGTATCCAATCCCTAAAGGCCTCACAAAATGCTATAGTATTCTCAGTATCCAATCCCTAAAGGCCTCACAAAAGGCTATAGTATTCTCAGTATCCAATCCCTAAAGGCCTCACAAAAGGCTATGGTATTCTCAGTATCCAATCCCTAAAGGCCTCACAAAAGGCTTTGGCATTGTCACAGTATCCAATCCCTAAAGGCCTCACAAAAGGCTATGGTATTCTCAGTATCCAATCCCTAGAGGCCTCACAAAAGGCTTTGGTATTCTCAGTATCCAATCCCTAAAGGCCTCATACAAGGCTATGGTATTCTCAATATTCAATCCCTAAAGGCCTCACAAAAGGAAGCCACGCTTCATGCCGCCGAATGTCCTGCCGGACGTTGGCCTGGGGTTGTTTCTGCCGGACGTTGCCCTTCCGGACGTTGCCCTAGGTTTGTTGGTTGACTGGGGGGAAGGTCGATCGGCAGATGTAGGCGGGTTGGACCGGGGTGGTGGGTTCACTGGTGCTAAAGAAGAATTACTGGCCTTAGCCTTGCCTGCTTCAAGTCCTGCCTTGAATGCGCGTTCGAATACTTCCCAACTTTCGTCATCTATCATGGTTGTCTGTGCCGCTGCACTCCCTGGTGGTATCTCAAGGTGGCGCTCTTTCCCTTTTGGTGCATCCATCACCTTGTCTTCATTGCCAGGAATCCTGTCCCTTTCATCGTGGTCTGTTGGCTGAGCCATAGGATTGGAGTCTTTCGGCGGCTCAACTTCAGACGATTTTTCCTCACCGCGCACGTCATCATCTTTGCCTTGTTTGGTTCCCAGAACCTTTGGGGCTGGAGCAGGAAAATGAAGAACTTTATTGCGCAACAGATGTAGCGGGTACAACGTATGGCAAAATGCATACATAGTTAGTGATGCTAACATACATAACATACATAACATAGTTGGTGATGCTAAAAAAATATCTCACAGTTCTACTAACTGTACTAAGAATCTGGTCTACTTTCATAAACGATGTATAAGAGACACTAATTGTACTAATCTGATAGTGATATATTGTGTCAGGAATTTATTACATTTTCTTGTTTTGTCAGTGAATTGTGTATACATTGGCCTACATAAGTGGATATATTGACAGGACATGATAGTAGCATATTGAATATCTCTCTTGAATATCGCTGTCTTTTTATGGGGTAGCGTTATATAGGTCTTACATGTAGTATATTGTACTCGTAACAGTTTTCGTCGGTTTTCAATATCGGTTAGGCAATCTACATGTATTGTAAAATGTAATTCGTTTTTTTTTAACGCCTTTATATGAGGAAGGAAAAGGAACAGGGGTACGTTTTCTTGGATATATGTGAAGACATTTTGAGCACTTGTGTGTAAAGTACATGTAGGGCATAAAGGCCTCAAAAGCAAGGTTCTAGATTTTCAATTCTTCTTCCAAATATCCCAAAATAAGAATTCACCTTTGAGCAAAATGCTACGTGATTTTTTTAAATGTCCAACGATTCGGCTTATCAGTTCCAAAAATGAAAACTATATTTGCGTTTTAGTGCCACGACGTTGCAGACCTTTAACATTCTAGAACTACATTTTTACTTGACTACTAAGTGTGTTTCTACATAGCGGGTAGCCAAATCTAATAATAACGTTCTAGAACAACACTCTACTAAAACATTCCTAACAAATGTCTACTAATTTTTTTCACCAAGGCCACAGCAAGTGATTTTTATGGATGGCATCAGCGCGCGCATTAATTTTCGCCTGATTTTGTGGGGAAAAAAGACAGCGGTCACCATGCCAAAAATTGGCAAAGATGTCTTTTGTCATGCCGGAAGGTGGATGACAGATAACTATGAAGAAAGGAGACAAGAAAAGGCTCTGATTTAATGTTTTGTTTCTTACTTTAATGCAGTGATATGTGATGTTGACTGTGTACATGTGATGTTCCCACTGAATAAAAACCATTTGTATAATGAATGA